CCTGCAACCCCTCCCAGCTTGATATCATCCACAAATTGTGTAAAAGTAATCTCTACTCTACCATACAAGTTGTTAGTAAGTAGCAAATTGTAGCAACCTGGGTAGGTCCCTGTAGAACCTATTCACAAGTCATACCAATTAGATAGTGCACTACTGACAACCACTTCAGTTTACCATCCACTTCACTGCAATTTCATCCAGACCACCTTCCCCTAGTTTAAGGGAATGTTGTATGGGAATGTCAAAAGCATTACTAAAGTAAAGTTGTGTACACATGTTCAAAACACTTGGGTGAATTCTCCCAGGTTTTTTCTCCTGGTAGAAACACTTACCCATAGATGCCTGAACAGATATTCGAATGTTGATCCCTGGAAGGGCAAAAAGCTTAAAGTGTTGACGCTGAGCACCCAGAGGGCCCTTGCGCACACATATCAGCATGCTCTACAGACTCCTTCAGTCTGCCTAGTGAGAGGTGCACAAGGCAGCCTGGTCTGGCTGACCCAGATTTGCCTGTGTCTCCCTGCATCATAATGTAGGGCACTGTGAAGGGGGCATGCTCTGTTCCCTGCTCAGCTGGAGCAGCAGAATCCAGCAAGCAACATATTGTCTCTGGAGGGAGAGAGAGCAAAGCACCCTGGGATGCTGCAAGGCTGTACTTTGGCCTCTCTCAGAAAAGAATGTGTAGACACGCAGACATTCACCCTCCCAGAAACAACTTTCCTGGGAGTAATTTCATCCTGGTTGTTCCCAAATTATTTCTCTCCTTGAGTGGCCATTTTTGATCTGGGAGAAAAATCCTAAACATCTGTACACTCGTGGTTTCTGCTTGGATAACAACGACAACACTCCCAGAAGAAATGGAATGTCTGTATATAGCCTAAAGATATACCACATCTATTACTTCTACCAGCAATTGGTTGCCTCATCAAAGAAGGAAATGAGAGTGATTTGGCATGATTTGTTTTTGACAAATTTATGCTGGCTGTTTCTTCTCACTTTGTTATCCTCTATGGTCCTTAACAGTTTGTTCCCATATTTTTCAAGATAACAATATTAGGTTGACTAATCTAGAACAGGGGTTAGCATGCTTTGAGCAGAAGTCTGCTGAATAAACAAGAGATTTAAGGCAGGCCACTGCACCCTACCACATTCTGCCAATTCCCCGCCACCAAATGCTGCTAATAGGCTTCTCATCCACTCACCATCAATGCCCTTACCCAACTACCAAACACTGCCAAATAACCCAACCACAGAATCAGTGCCACTACCCTAACTCCACAGACTGGCACAATCCCTTTGCAGGTCAAAAACTGTTGACTCCCCAGAGCAGAATTTCCTAGATTTTCTTTTCTCCATTTTTACATATAGATACCTACATTTGGCACTCTCCAGTCCTCCATAACCACAGAGCCTCCACAGAATTGATATGCCGAACTTTAAAAATTAAAGTGGGCAAATTAATAAAAGTATGCCTTGGTTTGTCCTCCATCCTATCAAGCAATTAACTACCTCAGTGCATAATAAAAAAGAGTAGCTGAATATAGTTCAAACTATCAAGAGCCTGTCAGGACAGCCCACTTCTCTTAAGTTTAAGCCCATAACTATGTTTCCTACAAAAAGGATTTTCATTTCAATTCTGACATGGTCCCTTTTCCCATCTTTTGCAACTTGTCATAATTAAAATAGTAAGCTCTTTGGAGCAGGGGCTGTCTTCATATCCAGTTAGAGCAATGGTGCTCAACCTCCGCCCATAGAGCCATGTCATCCAGCCCACGGGGCTCCCCGCTGACCAAGGAATTTGGTGACAAGGGAGTGGTAGCAATTAACACTGCTACCTCTCTCCTGATGCCAAATTTCCAAGCCCTGCAGATACCTTGGGGATGCCAGATGTCACCTGGCCCCAACCACACATTAGATTAGGTCGGCTGACCCGATCTACATCTAGATTGATCCCACACCACTTATGTGGCCCCTGGAACCTGAAAGGTTGAACGCCATTGCTGTAGAGCTTAAAACACCATAAGCGTAACTGAGGCCTGTGCGCACTGTTATGATAGTTAATACTAACAAGACTGGTCAAAAATCTTAAATTAAAAAAAATCTCAAACTGAAGAAGAAGGGGATTTAAGCAACCAAACAAAAGTACAGGTTTAGTTAAGGATTTCAGATAAAATAAAGGGCTTTTACAAATATATTATAAAGGGAAATTAAAATAGAAAAATAGCAAGTATTAAAAAGTCAGGAGAAGCATGAACTTGGCTTCAGAGATTTTTAATGAAACCTTTCTATATAAAATAAGAAAAAGAGAGAAATTCAAACTATTAGGGAGTGGCAAAGCTATCTACTCTAGATGAATACAGAAGAAAACATTTGAAGAACTGTGAACATAAAATAAGCCCAACTGGTGTGGATGTGTAAACACTACTGGACGTACTAAGCTGCTATTTTTGAAAAGTTCTGTGGAACTGGGAAAGTATTAGAAGATCAGAGAAAAGAAACTATACCAGTGATCTTCAAAAAAGAAGATCCTGGAAATTACTGTCAGTTTAGTCTAACTTCAGTTCCTAGTATATTCAATTCTGCAACAAATATTGCAGAAAAAAACTGAATTCCCCTAAAGAAAAACTAAAAAACCAAGCATACTAGCTTATAAACAATCAATACAGCCAAATTGTTCTGACAGAAGTACGAAGTAAGGCTACTCGAGGGCAAACATTTGAACTAACCTGCTTTAATGAGACCTCTCACACAACCAATAAACATATTTAAATATTTTCCGGGCTTAATGGAGAAGATACATAAAGTATATTATATATATTATTCATATGTATACAGTATATCACAAAATCTGAAATAACTGGCTTAGATGCGTTTTCAGTACACACAAGGAACTTAAAAGGCTAAAAAAACAATGTATTATATCAGGACTGTCCAACTTCTGAGTGGCCAGCCGCACTGCCCCATGACTGCCTCCCATTGCCTCCCCTGTCACCAAAGGGGCAGCAAGAAACAAAAACTGGAGGAGGGAGAGAGCCCAGAGACCCCAGTGACACTGAGGTGTGGTTTTGATGCCAGCAGCAGCAGGGGGACATGAGGAGCATAGGATGCAAGATTGGGAGTTCATGGGTCACAAATTGGACAGCCCTGTGTTAAACTATAGAAAATATCACAATGGTTGGATGCAGTCACATTTTATTCAACTTCATAAGCAACAAGAAAAGTAAGGAAACATCCAATAACAGCATTCAAAGGCTTAAATTAAACAAGAAAGTACTGTGAAAACAAGGAAGGACATATAACATGGAAAGAAAGAACAATAAGAGAATATAGTTTTGAAAATAAAAAAACCTCAATCTCACGAAGAAAAATAACATAAATATTCAGACTGAGAAAGAAAGGAAAAGCAGTCAAGCTGAAGAGGATCAAGAAATTGACACCAAAAGAGAGGAGCTTGCAAAGTGTCAACCACAGCTATATATATACACTGGGAAACATGTAAGCACTGTGGAAGGAGGTAGTTGCCGCATTTGATACAGCTACAGCATCATATCTCCCTTCATCAGAAATTAGATAAACTGAAAAAGAGAGTAACTAGAGAAAATGCAGAACAGAACAGAAGAGTTTGATTTCTCAGGAAAGAGTCAACACATCAAACTTGACTAAGAAACAGCTAGTTGGGAAAGAGATAATATCAGAACATTGTAAACACTGATAGATTCATCGTTAAGGATGGTTAACAGAAGAAAAATTCAGATTATAAGAAAGCTATAGGTCAAATATCAAAATAACAAAATCTATTACAACAGAAGCCCACAGTTTTGCCATACTACACACATGGGACCTTATAATTAAAGACTTTGTTGTAAATTTTGCATTTCAGTTGCCTAAATATATCTAACCAAACTCATTTAAAAAACAAAACATTATTTCCTTTGTGACCAAATTATCCCTTCATTCAAAAACCTGATCACTCCAGCAGTCCACTTAACTCTCCCATCAGTGATTACCTACCTCTCTCATTCCCAGAGCACCAACAAGCCACTACTTGTCAACCAGACCAACAAGCAAAGGGGGCGAGTGAGCGCAGGGGATGGAGACAAGTGCCAAAGACACATGAGTTAAATTTTTCATTCGTCTGCTAGGGACTTGCAAGCGGGAGAGGAGAGACATTCCTAAAGAAAGTCTTGGAACTAAACACGCCACCTATCATGGTGGGCTGCTCATTTCTCATCATAAGCAGGGAGCCAAGAAGAAGGGTTCAACCAAGTTGTGGCTTTTGATGTACCATAATGTGATGCAAGCCAAAGCCCACCAAGTACAGCTACAAGCCCCCCCTTGGTGCTGGGAGCCACTAGGGGGCATATCACTGATTGCTTGGGACAACAAATCAAAACTGGGATGGAAGTGAGAATCATGCACTCAAAACGAGCGCGCCTACGGGGAACACGGAGCAAAGCACCCCAGACAGTGCCTGCTGGCCCTCAAATCAATCCAAGGAGCCAGCAGACACTGCCCAGTGGAACTCTGCCCAGGGGCGTGAACGGGTCAGGGACAGGAAAGGGGCTCCATAGCCCTCAACAAAGTCAGGATGTACTTTTTTTTCCCTTCTTCCCCACCGAGCCAAGGGGTGCCCATCACCCCTCAGCCCCCACACCCTCCCCACCTCCACCTGCCTGAGTCCACCACAGGGCCCAAGGGAAGGGGATGATAAGCCCAGAGAGGAGAGAGATGGCAAAGGCAAGGGGCCGGCCATTTCTGTACAGCCTAACACACCCCATAGGGGCATGAGCTGCCCTTGCCCACCGATTCGGCAAGACATCCCAGTGGGCGCCAGAGGCGCTCTGGCAGGCTGGGCGCTTGGGCCCCAAAACCGAACTCGGCACCTGTGCCGGCACCAGGCCTGAGGGGCTGGCAGCCAGGGGGGCTGGCACCAAGCCCCCAGTCACTCCTGCGCGCGGGCTGCCCCCTGGCCCGGCGCGGCCGCGGGCCCTGGCACGCACCTTGAGGAGGATGGAGGGCGGCAGCTGGTTGATGTTGGGCGGCGGAGCCGGCGGCTCCCGGCAGGCATCGCCGGGGGGCTC